TAAGTATTTAGTGTCTTTGCTTGTATAAAAGTGTTTACAATCATGTAATATAAAAACTGTTATCAAAGTTTGAAAATAGCGTGAAACTCTAGAGAATACTATATTTTCCAGTAAAAGTAGTCTTCTACCAAGACTTGGTGATTTGTAAGTTTAAATCCTTTGAGTATGTAAAAGTTTTCAAAATGAGACTATCAGTTATAAAAATATAGTTTTAGATTTCATTCATGTAAAGTAAATAGGTAAATAATGTTTTATCCCAGCAGTTTTACTGCCGGCTGAATGAAATAGAAATGCAGACTCCAAGTAGTGATAAGTGTACAATACACCTCGGGGAGATTGTTTTACCTTTAATTCTATATTTATTAATTAGAAGTCCAAATGTGTACTCGTATGTAACCATGCTGATAGACGATCGAGTGACTGATGACCCTCCAGGTCACACGTAGTGTGGTGACATTTTGTCATCCCTGGGCCTAGTCGGCTCGGACTAGCATTCGAGATGTGGGAGTGTCTGTCCCATATAGATCTATATACATAATGCCCGTTCTCCCTCCAGGAGACTCTAGTTACACGGTAAAGGTACAGTAGAGTACCGTATAGAGGAATAGTGTGTCACATTATGTTTAAGTGTATTATCTTGTATCATAGTATGATGTACTTTTTAGTATAATGTATTGAGTGTTCTCTTATATAGTATATAGTATTCTCCCTATATAGTATTTAACATGTAGAGACTTATAACAATACTAGTTATAGTAAGTGTCATAGTAATAGTAGAAATGATCGGTAGACCTTAACTATACCTATTATAGTTAAATAGAATGTTGGTTGCGTGCCTTTGATACACAAAGGTATTGAACTGAGTGAATATTTTCATATCTAACACAAATATATACAATATATAACTAAGAATTCAACGACAGTCGGACAGATAACAATATACCCTAAGTCCACAATCAAACAAGAACAGGAAGTAAGGCGAGCTATTAGTCCTAAGTCCTTCAAGTCTTACTTTTATAAATATATTGGTGTAGATATAGTATGGGAGCAAAAGAAGTTTAAAAAGAGTTTGGAAATAGTTTTTATAACAATTTAACAAAAAAAAAAATGAGTTTGATAAACATTTGAAGCAGTTTTGATGGCAAAGCGGTTAAAAGTATAGAAATCCTTTTTGATTGCAAGTTACAAATAACATGCGATTGATACTATAATTTGTTGGATTCAACTTGTATTCCCCCCCCCCTCTATAAAAGAATTTAAAAGCATTTAAAAGGTTAATTAAGGGCTATGAACTCACCTGTAGTGAGTGGAGTGGATGGGATTGTCAGGTAGGATGCTAGGTGTCAAACGACTACTTGAACACACACGCGGATCCTATGTAACACGTAGTGATACATAATTGTATCTAATTAGACATTTAATCAATAATTAAGTAAGTAAAGACCCTTTAATGCATGAAAACACCTTGTTTCAAGTGCTAGGAGTGTTAAGGGTTGCATCTAAGGAGAGTATAGTCTCACTTTGGAGTTTACTCCTCAAATGGTAGTACCTAAGGGTGTTTACGGTTTTTGTACCATATCCCCCATGAGTTTACAGCCGTAAACTCATGGGAGTGGTGTATTTGTGTGCATTAAGGCTTCATGCTTCACAAAGAAAGGTTCTAGTGTGGATTCAAGGGCTTAGGAAGTGGTTAAGGCTTGAATTGCCCACTTTTTGGAGTTTACGGTCCTTGGACCATTTTTGGGGAGTTTACTACCGTAAACCCATTTGTTTACGACAGTAAACTCATGGTTACTCCATCCACTTCGAGTTTTGGGGTTCATAGATCATTCAAGCAAATTCCTAGTCCATAAGTCATGCTAGAGAGGGAGTTAGAGCATCAAAACACCCTTTTGGGGGTGTTTACGGTTTTAGGAGATCCCCAAACCGTAAACACTTGTTCTTGGGGTTTAATCCATAAATTTTCAAGCATACTAAGAAGATAACTAGGTAGGAGGAGTATACTTACTTATATGAAGCTTGTAAGAAGGTTTTAAGACCCAAAAACACTAGTGTGTTCTTGGTGATTTGAAGATGCTTGAAGATCTAAGTAAAAATCAAAATCCATGGATGAAAATGATTTATAAACACTAGATTTAGTGTTGTATAAACGAATTTAGAGATGAAACACTTACATTTGGCGGATTTGGAAGGATGAATTTATGATAATTGAGAGAAAACCTTGTGTTCTTGAGTGGAAAGTGTAGAAATGAAGGCAAGGGGAGTAAACTCATACTATATGCATGAGTTCTTGGCGAAAGGGTGTTTACGGCCCAAACACCTCATGTTTGGCCGTAAACACCTAGCTAAGGTGTTGGTTTTTTGGTTTGTTACTCCTCACTATTAACAACACTTCCTATTATTTAATTGCTTTACGATAATGAAGATAAAACACCAAATGGACTTAAATCCGGCCAAAAATGTATTAAAATATTTTTGACTAATATTTGGAGTGTTTAGATGTGGAAATTATACAAATGAAAATTTCGGGTTGTCACAAATTAAGATCGTCTTCTTTGGACATGGCTTTAAGAAACAAATTTTTGGAGGGTGTGCTAAATCAGCAGAACTTTATGCTATTATTTAGTGTTTACAGTTGCCCTGCCCTTGTGGTGCACGGTTGATTATGTTATTAATGGTTTGTGAGACATCATATTTTTTATTTTTATTTTTATTATTTTTTTGTAATTTATAATTTTATCATATTCTATGATACTTCGTTGCACTTAATAACATAACACATGTGAAGTTGGTGGTGGTAGCATGTGCTCTACATAATGACTAAATCCTAAAGAGTCAAATGGTGGAATTAAATGTTTTATATCCAATAAACATACCGTGCTTCACTATTTTGTTGCTCTCCATTGGTTTCACTTTTTAACCTCTAAATCATTCTTGATTTTATAGGATATGAACATACTCCATATAAAATGAGGTTATATGTGTTTAACACAGGCTTGCACTCACAGTCTAATAGATACAATTGTAAGTAAAGCCATTCTTTTAAACTTAATATACGTACAAAATCAAGAAAAATATTCACTACAAAAATAATGACCCAACTAATCAACTATTTCTTCCCATATAAAAATCAATTTGATTTTAATGGAAAATACACTACTTATTTTTATAGTGGGTGTAAGGATAAAGAAAATAATTGAAGCTATGATTACGCTTTTAAATGTACATAAGTTAGAGAGACAAATATAGTAAAAACAGTTTTATAATTCTTATAATGAAGTGAATATAATATATATACAATTCAACCATGGTATTCTTCTACTAAAAAATTGCATATTTGTTACTTGTGCAATGTTTGGTATTGTTTTTCTTTGTTTATGAATATGGATTGTCCATTTAAACTTTAAACAAATAGTAAACTGAGAATGTTAAAAAAACCAAATAACTTCAAATTTAAAAACCATATAATTATTTTATTCAATATAAAATATCAAATTAAATACCAAATTCCAAATTTGAATACAATTTTACGTGATGCTGTCCACAAAGATATTGTATAGATACACACTTTACAGGGGTAATTGCAAACGCAAAGAAACTAATTGCCAACATTTTATTTACCTCCCACCGAAGAAAAGCTAATTTAAAAAAAAAAAAAAAAACTATTCAACTACTTTGCCGTCAAGCCTCCCTAATCAAACCATGATGTTATACCGTTAACACAACACTAATTTAATTTGTGTCCAGCTGCATTGCAACGGATACCAACTAGTTATTAGAAAAGTGGTTTCAGTATACATTAAAGTAGACACATAAAAATAAATAAAAATAAATGTTAAAGCAACCTTCTATTTTTTGTTTTTGTGAGAAACCGCATAAAAATCACATAACCCTAATCAGAAAGTATAAAAAAACGATTTCTTTTCCATTAAAAAGAAATGGGCTTCTTGTTTGTCAAATCTATTGACGAGAGGCCCGATGGCCTAATTGTAATTCAGCCCAAAAGAATACCCTTTACGGTCAATGTTCGCAACCCTCAGGTCAGCTCTTTCTCCTCCTCATAAACCCTTCTACGCTCCTTCATTTCGTCCTCCAACCCTTTCGCCGCTTTTCTGGAGCCGCAGCATACGCGGATCCATTCATTCGCTTCTCTCTCTAGAAAGGTAAAATCCCTTGATCTCTCAACTCCCTTTCTTTAGGCTTCTATGCTTTGTAGATCTGAAGTATCATCGCTTCTTGTTGATAGATCTGTATTTAGCTCTTTGTTTTGTTTATTTCTATATACTTGCACTTGGTTTATTCGGATCGGCGCAGATCTGAATAAACAAAGCTTGATTCATAAGATCAAGTGTTGTTTCTGTGCGGTTTACATCGATTTTGCGTTTAGCTTTTCGTGTTTTCGGTTTTCTATGTTTTTATATACTAGATCTGGTCTATAATTGGTTTTTAGTTGTCCGAAATTCTTGTCCATTACTTTGTAGTATTCATTTCATGATTCTGAGTTAAGAAATAATTGCGAATCTTCCGCTCCTCTGTCTGTCGTCCATTGAAATCGCATCTTTTGATTTTACGTTTTCCAGTTGACCAAAATAGTTCGTTGACCAAAATCAATATCATTTCGTTGCAACTATAACTAGAAATGATTCAATCTGTGGGAGATCTAAAATAGAAATTGTTTTGTTATTTATTTGATCCGTGTTCGATTGAGGTTTAACTACTTGATGTTATGTCGATCTGTTGAAAACATTTTCATTATTTATTCATTTAGACTTTGACATCTGGATTGACGTTTTTTTATTGCTTATGTAGGGGTCATGACGATCGATCATTCACATCACCCAAGTGTTTCCCAGAAGCTTGGTCTTCTTGGATCCAGCATGACACAGCTTCGTGCTCGTGAGACTGGAGTCCAGCAGCCACTTTACCAGAGACAATTCCAATATGGAAATTACTCAAATGCTGCATTTCAGCACCCAACTCAGTCATCAGCTGAACTTTCCATGATTGTGCCAAAAGTATCACCGATCTGTGTTCAAGCCCCAGCTGAGAAAGGTCTTCAAGGATTTGCTATTGATTTTCTCATGGGTGGTGTCTCTGCCGCTGTGTCAAAAACAGCTGCTGCACCCATTGAACGTGTGAAGCTTTTGATCCAGAATCAAGATGAGATGCTTAAGTCTGGTAGGTTGGAGAAACCATACAAAGGTATCGGTGAATGCTTTAGCAGAACCATTAAGGAAGAAGGTTTCGGATCTTTGTGGAGAGGAAACACTGCTAATGTCATTCGTTATTTCCCAACCCAGGCTAGTCTTCTTTTTCTCTTTCACACTTATTTCTTATATAAGCAAAAGTAACAACTTACTTTCATTGGTTTGTTTTAATATAACCTGTCTCTAATTTCCTATTTTTTTTACAACAACTTATTTTAAAGATCTATCCAATTATGGCGATGTGTTATACTATAAAAGCTATTATGAACAGTTAATTATAAAAAGCCAGACATTGCTATGATTGGGTAGAATATTTAATGTACATTATCATATCAAGAAAAAAAGAAGTTTTACTTTTATAGATCCAGTATTATTTATCGCTTTTAATTATGAAACACATCTAGTTATACCAGTGTCATTTCACTATGATAATGTACATTGATAGTTCAGTCTTTTACTAGAAAGAACTAGCAATTTAATTGCATCAATTTCTTTTTTACACCTCTGTAATATCAAATCTTCACATTTGCATCCAAGTTAAAGATTAAGATGAAAGTTGATGCGGTTGCGTTCAACTCTTTACTTTTTCATTTCCATGATATAACATAATAAGTTTTGATTTCTTTATTATAACAATTATTAATTCTATATCCTTTTTTTGTGCATTTCAGGCTTTGAACTTTGCTTTTAAGGATTACTTCAAGAGGTTGTTCAACTTCAAGAAGGACCGTGATGGCTACTGGAAATGGTTCGCCGGAAACTTGGGATCTGGTGGTGCTGCTGGTGCCTCCTCCCTACTTTTTGTCTACTCTCTTGATTATGCTCGAACCCGTTTGGCTAATGACGCCAAGGCTGCAAAGAAGGGAGGTGAAAGGCAATTCAATGGTCTTGTCGATGTGTACAAGAAGACTCTTGCTTCTGATGGTGTTGCTGGACTTTACCGTGGATTCAACATTTCATGTGTTGGAATCATTGTTTACCGTGGTCTTTACTTCGGATTGTACGATTCCTTGAAGCCTGTTGTCCTCACTGGCAAGATGCAGGTAACTTATATATATATATTATGATGTGTTAAGATTTTGTATTACAGATAGACATTCTAATATGTGTTTATTGGTAAAAATTTCAGGATAGTTTCTTTGCAAGTTTTGCACTTGGTTGGGTGATCACAAATGGTGCTGGTCTTGCATCTTACCCAATCGACACAGTGAGAAGACGTATGATGATGACATCTGGTGAAGCCGTCAAGTACAAGAGCTCATACGACGCCTTCTCCCAGATCTTGAAAAACGAAGGTGCCAAGTCACTGTTCAAGGGAGCTGGAGCCAACATTCTTCGTGCTATTGCTGGTGCTGGTGTCCTTTCCGGATACGACAAATTGCAGCTTATCGTTTTCGGCAAGAAGTACGGATCAGGCGGCGGCTAATACGTTTCTTTTCGTAATTATCTGCAGATGGTGACGACCAACAAACCAAAACAAAGCTTTTGAATTTTTATTTTGAGGGTTTTTCTTCGTTCGCTCGGTTTGAATAATAAGGATTCAGTTTTGGGAGTGTTCCCTTTTGAAATATGGATTTTCCTTCATCTTTTTTTGTTAAGTATTATTGTGAACCTCTATCATTAGAGAGCAGTACTGATTTTTAATAGGTAAAACGATATTAATTTGGATGATTTCCTTTTGTTTTTCACTCTTTGCCTCTTGCTTTTGGTTATTATTTGATTATGATCGAATTTGTTTGTTTTTGGACGTGACTGGTGAGCGTTTAAGTTTCAACTCAAAACGAAAATCAACTTCATTTTATTGTATTTTCGCTTCAGTGTTGTTTTTAACCTTTTGCGGATTATTAAAATTTTTGGCAAAGATTTTTTACAATGAAGTTTGGTTTAAAAATTAACCCAAAGTTTTTATTTTTCTTGATTAAAACCTAAACTTGTTTTTCGTTTTGTTTTTGCTTTGTTGGTAATTTTGTAGGTTACTTTAAAATTTTCTTTCCAAGTTAACCCTCATCTTTGTATATTTTTCTTATATTTTTTCTCGTATTGTTGTGAACTTTATGTGGACCTTTCAGTAGAAAGTACTTCCACGAACACAAGCTTTTCATGCCATTCTTGTGATGCATCCTTTGCCAGTACCATAGCTAGCCTATCAAACGGATAAACGTCAATGGCTTCCCTTTACACACTACCAACCTAAAACATGTTCCGAGTGTCAAAAGGACAACAAGCTTCATACAATTTCAAACTAACAAAACAACATGCTTCTCCACTTTCCTAACCCCAACTAATAATTCTGTACTTATAACAGGCAAACAAAATGATTATTCATTCCAATGTAAAGCCACAACGAAATTCTGTCTCTTGTTTAACGAGAGAAAATAAAGAAGTAGGTGGAAGTGAGAAAAAAGTAAAAACAATAGGTGTTATCGAGTTTCAGTTAAGTAAGTGGAGGAAAATGAAAGAATCACTTTTGCCTCCTAAGTTTCTTTCCGGTTTGGAAGGATTCTGAAAGAAAGAACAAAATGATTAATTTTTCTATCATTTCCTTCCAACTTGTAAAAGCAAAACATTCTTTTCTTTGGAAAGTTTTTGAAAGAAAGAACAAAATGATTAATTTTTCAATTATTTCCTTTCAACTCGTGAACTTTTTTACTTTTCTTGCTTAAACTCAGAAACTAGGCGTAAAAAATGACATAAAGCAGCAAAACGCCTTACACAAACTTGTAACATCTCAAAAACAGCAAGATTGCCGTCACAAATTATTGATTGCCAGTGCTCCTACAACCGATGAGCTAATGTTTATATGATGATTAGTTCAATTATACAGGGTTGGGTACTTTTGATTTTAACCGGATCATCTGTCAATCTTTTTAGCATAGTAATTATGAACACTCGAAGAAAGGTGCCCCTCCCCAGTGGTTGAGTTCAAATCCCGTGATAGAATTTGTAGTATTTTCTTATTATATAATTATATGAAATTAATAACATCTCAAAATGTGTTTTTTTTCAGAGTCGATAAAAATAAAATATTAACTCAATAAATTGTTTTTATCTTTAAAAAATAATATTGAGTTATTTACACATTTATTACAAAATCACATTCCTTGCACACACACACAAAAAAAAAAATAAAAAAAAAATCAAAGTGCTATCACAAAGAACACTTTTGTTATGATATAAATCTAGTAACACGTTTTTGCTTAGTATAGATATCATTAGAATGTTTACGTATACGTGTGTTATTTTCATGGGCTAACAAAGGCCCAAACTAAATTGGCAGTACAAACGAATGCAATACATTTGCGAGAGCTCCATCTATTATAAATACTCGCGCTGTGTTGCGTTTCTCTCATATGTCCGCTTTATGAGTTCAATGACCATTATGATAAGGGATAATAACTTAAAAAGGTAACGAAGTTTCAAAAGTGTATAAAAAAAAAAAATCATTTTTGTTTTTTTTGTACACAAAATACCATTTTACAGGCTATTGTAAGTTATCCGGTTTTCAAATATTCAAAAAAATACCATTGTTGTTTTTTTTTTGTACAAAAAATACCATTAATGTTACTATTTGTACACAGAATACCAACAAAATACACATGTGTTCAACTAAAACATTGTGGTAACCAGGTACTTCGGGTAAATGGGATGAGATGAGCGTAATCAGTAAATGCTTGTTTAATTTTTGTTGAAATTGTTGGAAAATATCTTACTTCCACCGTATGATCAGTCGAACAAGATTACAGGTGATGCTTCGGTTGATAAATTTTTCTTCAAATCGGTGATGAGAAGAGCGTAATCAGCAAGTGCTTGTTCGGCTATTAGATAAGCTAAAGTAGAAGCATTCTTGTATGCCTCTTTCTGGCTTCCATATGGCATCGATTCACCATAATGTCGATGCTAGATCGAATCACGCAGCTTTTGATAAAATTGAATTATTAAAGGTCTGCAAGTGAACAAATTAATGTAGAGTAGAGTGATTAGGGCTTTTACTTCGAGGAAGATGACCATGGCACCAAAACGAGGGGCAAGTTCCCAAACGAAGTCGGCGTTGGCAGCGAACCATTCGATGTTGCCTTCGTTGCCGCAATAAAGGAAGATTGGGCCCAAACGACTAGGGTATGGGCCCACCCAGTGATCGGAGTTGATGAGATAACGTTGTTGGAACTTGGGAAGATCATTGAAACTGAAATGATCAAGAGTCTGATCAAAGTATCGTGTCTCGTAAGTGTACTTCGGTTGAACAAGAATTTTTGGGTTTTGAGAAGCCGTGGGGATTTGCCGAGAAACGGAGGTGGCCAGTGAGATTTCGGCATTGATGAAAGTAAACAGATGATTAGGAGGAAGAATAAGAAAAAAGGGTTTTGCCATGGTGGTGGAGGATGGCGATGAACAATAGTAGTGGCCGAAGTGAAGTGGAGGTTTTTTTTTTTTTTTTTTTTTTTATAAAAAGTAGCTAAATTTCCTTTACATTCAAAAAAGGAAAAATGACTTAAAAAGGTAACGAAGTTTCAAAAATGTACAAAAAAGACCATTGTTTTTTTTATACACAAAATACCATTTTACCGGTTATTGTAGGTTACCCACAAGGTATTATTTGAACACATGTGTACTTCATTGGTATTTTGTATATAAAAAATATACTTTAATGGTATTTTGAATACTAAAAATAAAATAATGGTATTTTTTGTATATTTTTGAAACTTCAATACCTTTTTAAATCATTATCCCTTATCATAATAAGATAATTGAAAAAGGTCTTTGAGTTCAAGGTCTTCAAATTTCAACGCACATATTCACATATTATATATATATATATATATATATATATATATATATATATATATATATATATATATATATATATATATATATATATATATATATATATTCAGGTTCATTTGAGACCATTTTAATTTTGTGAGACCGTGAGACCAAATCTAAAAATAATTTTAAAATGCAAAATAAATGGAAAAATCCAAAAATTCTTTTTGTAAATATTATTTTCGGAACTTGAATTAACTAAAAAAACAAAAAAAAAATCCCGTTTTTTTTTAAAAATACGTGAAATATTCTAAATAGAATATTACTCTGACATATTCTAAAAAATAATTTTAAAATGCAAAATAAATGAAAAAATCTAAAAATTCTTTTTTTAAATATTATTTTCGGAACTTGAATTAACTAAAAAAATAAACAAAAATAAAAAAAATTCTATTTTTTTTGAAAAATACGTGAAATATTCTAAATAGAATATTACGCTGTACATATTCTAAAAATAATTTTAAAATGCAAAATAAATGGAAAAATCAAAAAAATACTTTTTTTAAATATTATTTTCGGAACTTGAATTAACTAAAAAAAAATTAAAAAAAATAAAAAAAATAAAAAAATGCGTCTCACGGTCTCACAAAGTTAAGTCGTCTCACATGAACCTAACACTATATATATATATATATATATATATATATATATATATATATATATATATATATGTATATATATGAGAAATTAAATATTCTCTTACCTTTATTCCTACAAATCCTCCTACTAAATTAAATAATGACATTTGTCATTTTAATATACTTAAATATCATTAAATGTGACACATGTCATCGTTTAATTGAGTAGGAAGATTTGGAGGAACAAATAGTAGGAGGATATTTACGCCTTGTTCCCGAGTTTAATTGAGTTTCATTAAACGAAAGAAAAGAAAGGGAAGGAAGATATGGAGAGAAAAGTAAGGGAGGGGAAGGAAATGATTAACTTTTTCGTGTTCCCGAGTCCGAAAGAAAAGAAAGGAAATGATTATTTAACCATGTGTTGTTATCCTTATCATTGATTCTCTTCTCTCCAAATCTCTCCAATTTGGAAGGAAGATTAGGAGGAAAGATTTTCCTCTGATTTCCTTTATTTTCTTCCTAAATCATTCCAAAAAAAACTCGGGAACACGATGGTTTACTTTTTCTCTCCGATTCCCTCCCTTTCTCTCCACTTCCCCCGTTAAATGAGACTCAGGAACGGGGTGTTAATTTCTCTCTCTCTCTCTCTCTCTCTATATATATATATATATATATATATATATATATATATATATATATATATATATATTTATGGTTATTGATCAAATGTAAATCATAAAGATTGTATGTGAATATGTAACCAAATTCTGATAATTAGATTAAAAAAATGAAGAGCTGTGATCTTAAGGTATATGGTATTACCATAGGATATCATTACTTTATAATTACACTTAATTAATTATAAAAGTTAATTAGTTATGGAAAGTGAAGATATTAATGAATGCAATTTAAATTAGATTTTCAAAAAAATAAAAATATATATTTTACATGTTAAATTATCTACGGTATAATAACTTTTGCGTATTGAAAAATACTTACACATTAAATTCTTTAAGAATACGAATATATAGTCCAATCTATTATTGTCGAAAATACAATATTCATGGTTAAGAATCATTTGTAAAACAAACAAACTTAATAATATCACGATAATGGTTAAGAATAAACTATTTAAGTTAAAACTTCGTTATTAATGATGATAATATAATATTTACATTATGCTAAAACAATTTTAATAAATGTTTTCGAGCCCACTAAACAATTTGAAAGTCTAAAGAATATATGAATTCTTAAAGAATGGACGAATTAAAATTTATTTGTAGCTATGTAACACCATAATTTTTTATACAACTCAATATTTTTAAAGAATTAACGCATTAAAATGTCTAAAAATTGTTGTGTTTCCACTTTCTTTAATCTATATTGATCATCCTTTACTCCTGCCCTCTACATGTGTAAAAACTAGGAAAAAAAGTTATTTAAAAAAGCAATGCAAATCAAATGTGTGATAATTATGTTCTTTGAGAACGTGTGCACTAATATTCTTTGAGAATTTCCCCTTTAAGAATGTCTATATAGTAAAATATAATGTCTTTTTAGCCCACCCCTATAATAAAATGTGTGATCGTTTAATTGCAATCAAAGTCAAATGCAATCATAAATTAAACATTTTCATAATTTTCTTTTACTTAAGTGTCTTTAAGAATTTTAGATTTTGCATTATTATTTTATTTATTGTTGTTAACAAAAAAA